GGCTGTTCAGATTTCTCTTCTCATGAACCCCAGTGATATCGACAAGGCTTGTGCTTCTGATAGTATATCTTCACTGATTCATGCTGCTTATCGCTTACTTCCTCTGAACCAAGCAAAACAGCTCATTACTAAGCTGACGAAGGTTCGTATGATCTACACGCATTCTTAATTGGGGTTCTACTTTTAGGAAGAATTCGTTTCTGATATTGTATCTGGTAAAAAAACCATCGAAGATATTGCAGTTGGTGGAATGAATGTCGCAAACTTCCAGAAAGAGAAAAAACTTCTGTCTTGTGATAAGATTAAGATGGAACAAAAGTAAGATCAATTTTCTGACCTATGACTAGTTACCGCTTAAGATTCGCCATTTCCGTTCTCGGACTTAAGCCAGGCGATCGGGCAGTCGTGGCTAATGGACTCATTATTGGACCTTTGAATGAAGACGAGAAACTCACCTCAGCCGACTTCGGCTTGTTAGAAAAGTTGTTAGGTGCTCGTGGTTCTACCGTCATTGCATCTCATGTTGATAAATGGGAAGTAGATAAAGCCAACGGAAAAGCATCCGATGTCGTGCTGAGATCCGCTGCATTGATTGGAAAGCATTCCGTTGCAAAGAAAAGAACTTGGGTTGTTTTGGAGGGAGACGAGTTCAGGTAATGTTAGATGAAGTTAGTATCAAAAACAGCAAATTTCAGCTCCGTTACTCTTGTTGCTGATGATCCGAAGAGAGCCACAATGGATGTCGTCGCCATTGTTGATCCTCTTTCTCGTTCCAGTCAAAAACTGGCTCCTATATTGGAAGTTTTGAGAAAATCAATCAACTGTGACTTGAAGATTGTGATGAATCCTAAACCCAAGCTCAGTGAACTACCTTTGAAACGGTTCTATCGATACGTTGTATCTTCGGAGTTACAGTTCGACCATAATGGGAATATTGCTCCATCACAAGCCAGGTATTCTATATTCTGCGAGATCACATATGCAGTTTTGTTTTCAGATTCACTAACTTACCTTCTAAACAGTTATTAACCCTATCTGTACATTCGCCTGAAGCATGGATGATTGAAAACATATATGCTCAATATGACTTGGATAACATAAAAATGGAACAAGTCACTGACTCTGTGAATGCTATATTCTCTTTGGAGCATATCCTTTTGGAAGGCCATTGCTTCGATGAAGTCTCTGGTGCTCCTCCAAGAGGACTTCAATTTGTCCTGGGCACAGCTAGCGACCCATCGCAGTTCGATACTATAGTGATGGCTAATTTAGGATATTTCCAACTTAAGGTTATTAGTTTTTCTCAGATCTGACTCATCCATGTATTCTAGGCAAACCCAGGCTCTTGGCAGTTGCGTCTCCGTGACGGAAGATCAAAGGATATTTATGATGTTTCTAGTCATACGAACACCGAAGGCGAAATCGACGGAGCTATTTCTGTTCTAATTGGTTACTTCAGGAGAATAATGAAAGTAACAACATATTATAGATTCATTTACTGGCCGTGTCATCCGCCTAAGAGTTTCAAAGAAGGAGGGCATGGAGGAACGGAACTTACTTTCCGACGAAAACGAAGAAGGAGGAATTTGGAACACTTTAAGTTCTAGGTTCGACCGTAGCAAGGTCTTGAATTTATATTAAATATTTCAGTCTCGTCGGTGAGAAACACGAAACTATAAACGTGTTCTCTCTGGCTTCTGGTCATTTGTACGAACGTTTTATGAGGATTATGATTCTTTCAGTAATGAAGAATACTAAGCACCCTGTTAAGTTCTGGCTTCTCAAAAATTATTTGTCTCCTCAGTTCAAGGTAATTAGATACACGTCGGTTTCCGAACAGTATTCTTTAGGATACACTCCCAATCATGGCCGATCATTATGGCTTCAAGTACGAGCTAGTTGAGTACAAATGGCCTAGATGGCTTCACCAACAAAAAGAAAAGCACAGAATTATGTGGGGTTATAAGGTTTTGTATGCAAATATGAAGTAGGCTCAACTTTCTTTTCAAGATTCTTTTCCTCGATGTGTTGTTCCCTCTGGATGTCCAAAAAGTTATTTTTGTTGATGCTGATCAAGTTGTTCGGGCTGATCTAATGGAGTTGATGGAGTTAGATCTGGGAGGAGCTCCATATGGGTTTGTGAATTTATATCGCTAACAATACCGCATACAATTTCAGATATGCACCTTTCTGCGAATCGCGTAAAGAGATGGACGGGTACAGATTCTGGAAACAAGGATACTGGGCCAATCACTTGGCTGGACGAAAATATCATATCAGGTTGGATTTGCACCAAATAATTTTATGAAATTTTTTAAAGTGCTCTATATGTTATTGATCTCCATAAGTTCCGTCAAATAGCTGCTGGTGATAGACTTCGTGGCCAATACCAAGGTTTGAGCAGTGATCCTAACAGTCTCAGTAACTTGGATCAGGTTGGAACATAATTTTCCGTCTAATTTTATCAAGTTGTTCAGGATCTACCCAACAATATGATACATCAAGTCAAAATCAAATCTCTACCTCAAGAATGGCTGTGGTGTGAAACTTGGTGTGACAACAGTAGTAAGAAGAATGCTAAAACTATTGACTTGGTTCGAGTAATCCGAATCCTTTGTCTTACTTGCTATTTCTAGTGTAACAACCCTCAAACTAAGGAACCTAAACTTGATTCTGCTTCTCGAATCATCCCTGAATGGAAAGATTACGATCAAGAAATCAAGGATGTCATTTCTCAAGGAGCCAGTGTTAAGAAACCAAAAGATGATGCTCATCAAGAACTGTGATTTAAGCGGGAATTTGTTGTTATTTATACTACTATGGGTTTTAACTGATTATTTAAATATGCTTGTTATGATCAATCCCGCACATCATAAATGTTTTCATGTCTGAAGCTCAACTTCTTCTGTTAAGTATTCTGGTTCGTGACCAGTGCTGTTCATACTTTCCAATAACTCGAAAAAGTTTACTTATATCCTTAGATGACTTCGAGAGTTGCACGTCTCTGGCAACCAGGAAACCCTCAGAGGCGAGTGTATTTACCTGATTTCTGGTTATTCCCTGTAAGTACTCCAAAAGTAGGAAGGACTAAATTGCCGAAGAACTGTGTGAAGTTCCAAGTAGATCCTCGGTAGTGTTGTCTTCGCAGTTCTGTTTCACTTGATCGATCTGTTCAGAATGTCCAAGCATGATGTGAATCAATATCTAACCAAAATCTATAAATTGCCTGTAAGAGATGTCCGAACAGAGGTACTGAGAGAAAATTGAAAATGAGTTCTTGAATCTCTTTTGATAGGTACAAATGGGAGAAATCACATGGAACACGAAGCCAGATTATAGGTATAAGCGAGCGATGTGGAAAGAAGAAGACAAGAAGTTTGCTTTCGTCTTTATGGTGAGAACGAACTGACATTAATTGGAAGAGCAGTTCATTACAGAAAAAAGACTTCGAGTTCGTGTACCCAGACATATTCCATACAGATGAGGAGT